AAAACGTTTTGCGGGTTCCGAGTTGTTAGTTAAATTGTTGAGGTTGAACAGAAACTTTTCAATTGGTTTAGAAACAGTAAAAAGTCAAATTCACCACTTAATTGGTCTGTTTCATTTTCAAACAGGTCAGTGAGGAAAACAGTAAAGGAGGCAAGGAAGAGACAGACAAGCAGAGCCAGAAGTGAGAGGGATGCTGCTGCTTTATCCCAGTCACATCCTGTCGGCTGCCAGTGGTTTCCATGGAGACGGGGACTTGGAGGGAGGTCAGTGAGCCAGGACTCACACTCCACCCGAGCCTCAACAGCTGACTTCACACCGGGGGAAAAGGGGTCTGGACCACCGTCAGGTTGCTCCCACCACGGTCAGCCGTCCTGCCGAATCTTGCAGGAGGCCCAGAAGTTCCAGATCTCCCGCCACGGGAGCTTCTGCTCAGAAAACTCTTGTGTGAGCGACCGTGGGGCTGCAGGGGATAACGCAGCAGACGGCTGTAAACACTCCAGCCTCCCCCCTGAGGGATATGGGAGGGCCATTTCTTTACCAGGTCCACAGGAGAACGCTAGCAGCTCTCTGTAAGTTGACTGCATGAAATTGATAGATAACTTCTCTTGCTGAAATACTTGATGCTTTATCTGTTTATTCTAAACTATAATACTGGCTGAGATCTAATAAACTTCTTTCTGCCCCTAAGCTGACAGTGAAGGGCTTCAGGTATTGTGCCCTAGTGTTTCCTTTTTTTTTTTTTTTTTCATTTATCATATATGTATTCCATAATTATCAAGCGCAAACCCACAATTGATGCTGATAACGGTACCTAGATGTCACCATCCGGTTAACTGTTATCATTCAAGACATTATCAGCCTTTAGAGTGATTTCATAACTTATTTTGCAATTTAAATTCATACAGCAGCGTGATGCCCACCTTTTTGTGCAACTATTTACAATTATTTTTACAAAAAATGATGGCAAAACAGTGGCCAACAGGGGCCTTTTCAGCTGTAGGACTGGTCTTAGTCTATGTTATGGCCCCTGTATTTAAGACATGATACTAGATGAATTTATGAAAAATTATTAATAATATGCGCCAACACAGAAAACTCTAATGATTGTGATATTTTTTTTATCTTTACAGTTTTATTTTGATAATGATGATGTTATATTTTTTGCTTCAGGCCTGCTGTCATAAGATCAGTTTTTATCTTTGGCTTCCAGAGCAGCAAATGGCTCTTTAGTTTCTATCCATCCATTTTCAATCAGGATTATCCTAAGCGGGGTAGCGAGGGGTGCTGGTGACTATTTCCAGCTGTCTAGGGACGAGAGGCGGGGTACACCATGGTCAGGTCGCCAGTCCATCATAGAGCAAACAAGAGACAAACAGGAAAAACAACCATTCATGCACGCTTAAGGAGTATTTAGAGAAGCCAATTAACAGCTAACAGTTGTTTTCAGACTGTGGGAGGAAGCCAGAGTACCTGGAGAGAACCCACGCATGCTCAGGGAGAACATGCAAACTCCATGCAGACTGGAAATTGAACCTGGAACCTTCTTGCTGTAAGGCAGCAGTGCTAACCATTGCTCCACTGAGCAGCCCAAGATCAAAGAATCAAGAGGAATTCAATCCTAATAACTTTGTTTAATTGGAAAAATCTGAGGTTTCAGTTGCATTGATCTGGCTGCACATATCTTTAACACCTCATTAGCCCGCACCCCCTTTGTTTGCATTGCAGTGCTTATATTCCTCAGGGCTGCTCGCCCAGCACAAACTCAAATAGTTATACATTTTGGGTTAAACATAGGTAGCATCCAAATGTTTAAAATCTACAGTTTTCATTCTGTGTTCTTAAGAGTGACTATTTAACTATAAATTAAAAGAACATAGTTTATTTAATCTGAAAAAATTGTAGATAACTGAAAGATGGGCTAAAAAATCCTTCTTTGACATCCATGATCTGCTTTTGTTCTTTGCAGCAGAGCAAGTTGTTTTTTCCTCTTTGTCTCCTCTGCTCCAGCATTATCACTAGCTTTCAACAGGAGGTGTTTTTTTTTTCTTTTAATCTATGTAACAGCTCTGATCATTTACATCAAAATGCGTTCACTAAGGTGTTTTGTTTCTCTAAATCCAGGCATAATATGTCAATTTTTGGGCAAACTGCATTGCTAACAGATACAGATCTGCAACTGTGTTTTGAAATAGCTTTTTTAATGTGTAGATATTATATAATACAAACTGACTGTTTCACAATGCCAATATTACAGGATATTGAAAAGGAGCTCATCTTAGGAATCAACATGTCTGATTTAATTTATAGCAAATTTCCTCAAATGGAAATATGAATGTACTTTATTTATTTATTTATGGAGCAAATATTTCAGCTATTGGCTGAAACTGTGCGTCTCCACTTGCTCTGGTTGCATCTTATATAGATTTTTATATATGCTCATTACATTCTGTTGCATGTATCTATATCGTATTCTGTTCTCAAACATTTTTGTGTTTTGTTGTTTTTTTTGTTTTTTTTTTGAAGATTTCAGTTAACCCATGAATAGGGAAAATAGGGAAAACATAATTTATTTTTTGTTTCCTTTTGCATGCTGTATCCCTCCCCTTCATGCCTGATCAAAGCTAATGGGTTTTATTTCTCTTTGTGTCACCAGGAGGCTGCAGCATGTGATGGAGGAGCTGGTGTTTACAGAGAGGGAGTATGTTCGCTCCCTGGGTTACATTCTCACTCACTACCTCCCCCTAATGGACAGGTTGGACATTCCTCAGGATCTCCGAGGCAAACGAGGAGTTATCTTTGGCAACCTGGAGAAGATTTATGACTTCCACAGCCACTATTTCCTCCCAGAGCTGGAGGCCTGCGAGAGGCAGCCTGCCATGGTAGCCCGCTGCTTTCTCAGACATGTGAGAAATAACGGCACAATTTTGGATCCTGTACTGTAATTTTAATTTAACATTTATTGAAACATTAATCATAACATTGACTCCCTGCAGAGTGAGAGTTTTGGCCTGTATGCATTGTACAGCAAGAACAAACCTCTGTCAGATGCTCTTATTCTTTATCGGCGCCATGACATCTTCAAGGTCAGTTCATGTCTCCCTTTTCTTTTAGTAGGGATCTGTAAACGTGATTTCATAGAGCAGTTCAGGTCTTGGATTGACAGTTTTTACAAGATATCTGGAGCAAGATTTTCACTGACAGTTTGAAATATTTCTGTTGTACAAAATTTGAGGTCCAACCCCAACCATTTTAATTTGGTTAAGATTTTTTTTTAAACTTCTTTTCTTTATCTGATTTGGAATAAGAGAAAAAACAGCTAATGACTTTATTTTTAAAATCAGATTTCTCTGAACCCAGCTTAATACATTGAGTAACTCTTGTGAACTTCTAGCTCAGAAAAGACTGAAAAAATATGGACCAAGAGAAGAGAAAACATTCCATTTGTATGGTGCCATTTTTTGGCCCCAATACCTGGCTCTGCAGTATTGGCCGATACCATCTTTTTGAAATTGATGTATGTATATATGAAGAACTGCATATTTCTGAGATGTAAAGTAATTGCCATCATGGCTTTGTCAAGCTGCTGCCTACCTTTGTGAAGCAGGAAAAAGACTAATACAAAGTGAATCCAGTAGTTATTTTTATTGCCTACCTGGAATGCGTGACAATAGTTAAATAAACTTTTTGTCAAGGTTAGATTGTGGTTTTGAGGACCCAGATACAGAGGCAGGGAGAAAGATGTGAGTTATTGGAGTTTTAATTAATGATAACTGTTAACAGAGGTAGGAATCCAAAATCCAACTTAAAATGTTACACAAACCAGATAAGGACAAGACAAGGAACCAGCACTGAGGAACTGCACAGGGAGAGTATTTATGGCTGACTGAAAAAAGGCAGGACTAATGAGCTGATTGGGAGCAGGTGAGAACAGAGGCTTCTAGAAAGGAGCTAGGGAAAAGGAGACCAGCAAAAGAGGGCAACAGAGAAAAACCTAAGAACTCAAATATACAGAAAACACAACACAATATGAATTAAACCAATAAAACTAGAATACATGGAGCAAAGTAAAACTGAATACTCAAAAGAAAACTTAACAGAACTAAGACCGTGACACTTTTGGCTCTCAAAATGGTATCAGTGCCCTATTTGTTGTTACTTGCCGATACGATACCACCATTTTAGTGCGGTATCGGTATTGGTGCAACACTAGTAAAAAATGTATGCGGGTCTTTAAAAAAACAAATGCCTGAGACCCTATTTTAGGTATTGTAACTACAATGATTTAATTTGCCTTTTCTAACAAATAAAAAACGTATTTCTTCCATCAATTCAAATGTGTCCTTATTTTTGTGGTTTTAGAAAAGTTACAAATTTTGGTTGCAGTAAAAAACATGGACAAGTCTCTTTGAATGTTGTTTACATCCAACAAAAAGCTGTAATAAATAAACTCATCATTCAGCTTTTTGTTTTTAAGCTGATAAAGTATATATATATATATATATATATATATATATATATATATATAAATATATATATTTTTTTTTGCAATTCAACAAGTTTCAACTTTTCAATTTAATTTGATTCACACACGTAATGAGGGCATTTAAAATTTCAAAAGACCTCTTAATGTTTTATTAACTAGCTATATTTAGATACCTGCTAATAAGAAATAAATAAAGCTTTGCTGCACATAGAACAGCTGCAATGGGAACAGTTCTCTAATTAAGAACACAAACCTGAAAAAGCTTTCCAGGGACAAAGGTCTAAAGTAATACAGTTAAGGGGGTTGATCTTATTTATTTTTTATTTTTTTTTATGATTGACTGTGTCCAAATATTGTTTATGTGTGAGGTTCCATAACCTCCAACTTGAGGTGTTGAACTGCTAGAATCCTGGGAATCTCGTTGATAAGACCCTGTCTAGCAGGTTTGTTTAAAGATATTTAAGTTGAGAAACCTTAGATCTTTTAGGTGTATATATACTATAAACAAGGCTTTTACTTTTTGACACATGCCAAAGCAGACCTGAGCTCTGTCAGTGTTCACACAGTAAAAGGTTAGGAATTTCAATAGGGCGCCATAAGTCACATCCCTGACTAGAATTTTAAAATCAGTGCAACAGAAGCTTTGCTGCCATTTCTGCTTCAGTCACAGTGTCAGTGAACTTTATATTGTATACTACATGATAAAGTGACCCAATTCTCCAGAGAAGAGAACATGCCATTTTCTGTGATTGCAGAACTTTTCTTTTGAGCCTTATTGTGTTTCCAATGTTTTACATGTTTGTGTGTTTTGGAGTTTGCATCATTTATTTGGCCATTTTAGCTTATCTGTCTGCATCTGTCAACTATAAGTCACTTATGTATGAATTTTGTTTTGCATCAACAATGTTTCCATTTCCGTGTTTCCTGTCTAACATTTTATTTTTTATTTTTACAAGGATTAAATAAAATAAACTCTGAACAGTTTACATGGGTTTAGAGAGTAATTCACACCAAATGTTTATTTTTAAAGCACAGGGAGCTATTACAGCTTTTTTGCATTAAAAAAGGTGTAACTTTTGTTATGTTTCAGAAAAAGCAGCAGGAACTTGGGGACTTGATGGACCTTTCTTCATACCTGCTCAGGCCGATCCAGAGGATCAGCAAGTACAGTCTGCTGCTGCAAGACATGCTGGCCTTGGTCGCATCGTGCAGAACAAAACCGCAGGACGCTGCTGCAAGTACACAACATGTGTGTGGCGTGGCTGCACCGGATCTGACAAGGATTGAGAGAGACAGAGAGAAAGCCGACATCCAGGCTGCTGCAGACTTAATTCAGTTCCAGATGCGTCACGGCAACGATTTACTCACCATGGACGCCATACAAGACTGTGATGTGAGTTATGAAATTAGCAGAACACGTAGACATTAACCACTAATGTTAGATGACATAAAAAGAAACTTTTTTTTCTGGTTATGTTTTCCTCCCTGTGTGTTAGGTTAACTTGAAAGAGCAGGGGCAGCTGATCCGCCAAGATGAATTCACAGTTTTCTTTCGGAAGAAAAAATGCATCCGTCGAGTCTTCCTCTTTGAACATTTGATTCTGTTCAGCAAGCCCAAGAGAACAGATATTGGAAATGATGTTTATGTCTACAAGCAGTCATTTAAGGTTTGCATTTACTTGTTTTAACACATAGCTACTGGAATCTTCAGCTCCTACTTTGCATGTGCAGCAGACTGCATTGCATTTGCAGTAAAATGCAGTTTTTATTGTTAAACCACTAAAAAAAGCAGCAATTATAAAAAATACTGAAAACAGTGAAGAAAGGAAATACATTTTCATTCTACCCTGCAGTTGTCTAGACAGGCATCTCTTTAATATTTCTGCAGTATTTTTCTATTGCATGTGTTTTGTTTGTTAGCCATATTTACATGTTTGCAACAGCTTTTGTGTTCACAGCTCATCAGCACTTTACTGGTCATTATTTTCTGTGATTGCACCTTTTTTCTTTTGCAACTTTTCTTCTTTTCACATATTTTGCATATTTGTGTCTTGGTTTAAATTTTTGGGTTTGTAGTACATCTGGTATTTGCAGCATGTTTGCATCCCTCCATCACCGCACAAACCTCTTCAATGAACTGAAATATGTTAAGTAAAATAAGGGATGTTTGAAACATTTTTCACTTCTTTTTCTGACATAAAAAAAATAAAAAACACTTTATTAGAATATTTTTAGAAACTCTGTTCTAATCAAAACAGTTTTTGTATGTCTACCATTAGAAATAATGACATTGCATTTTCATATTCAGATGAAAATCAAGGAATGTTCCCTCTGCAAATATATATTTTTGGCACTATAATAGCACTGGTATCTAAAGGTCTGGTGGGTCATCATTTCTGTATATTTGTGTGTTTGTTGTCCAGACAAATGATATAGGAATGACCCACAACTCTGGCATGAGCAGTCTGTGCTTTGAGATCTGGTTCCGCAGGAGGAAAAATGAGGACACCTACACTCTGAAGGCCTCAAGTATTGAAGTGAAGAAAGCCTGGACCACTGATCTGGAGAGGATACTGTGGAACCAGGCTGCTCAAAGTAGAGGTATTTTATGGAGATACTTGGATCAAAAACATATTTCAGGGTTTACTTATTTAAAAAAAAACTTTATTGATATATTATATGTGTTCTAGAGCTGCGTTTACAAGAGAGGGTGTTTATGGGAGCAGGTCGCGGTGCTTTTATGGATATTGAACCCAGCGATGGAGCTATATGTGATCGAGCCGTTGGCTGCGTCCCGCCAGGGAGAAGTAAGAGGCTCATAACACTCACAAACATTTTTCATTTGAAAATATTCTAAGCACATTTTCACTAGATACCCTGTACAATACATCTAAGGGCGTTACAACAGCAGGTCTCACAATTCAATATGATCTTAACCAGGTTCACTTACCTTTAATTTATACCTCGTACTGTTACTATACAGTTTGGCAGGGAAACAGGAAATCAAAGTCAATATCCAAAACTTTAAGCATCTCACAAAAAAAAATTTTCGGGTTCATATATAGAGGGAATATGGAGCAATAGTAAACAAACATCTAAATGCATGACCAGAGAGGCAGGCCAGATGAACTACTGTTATTCTCTAGTAGTTGCAGAGATCCACAGCTCAGGTAGGAGAGCCTGTCGACTGGCCAAGTATTGTTCATGCATTCTGTACATCTGGATGACTGGCTTGAGCTCAGCCATAGGTGCAGTATTAGAGACTCATGTTTACAGTTTGTATTCTCAAAAGTGACTGGAGTGGTAAAGATATATGGCTATGGATAGATTTATCTGAGTAGTATCAGCATAACATTGGATGTTTTCCCAAGTTGTCTAATTATTTAGCCAATTATTAGTATATATATATAGAGAGAGAGAGGTGTTATATTCTCATTGATGGCATTCGTCTGTGTGTTAGTCCCTGTGGCGTGTTGTTCACACAGGGGCTTAGATTATCCCCGACCTCAGTCCATTGGCTCCGGCAGCACCACGTCCACCACCCTCAGCCAATCATCCTCCTCCTCTGGCCGAGGGTCGCTGCCCCCTACTGGTTTCCTTGGAAACCTGTCACACGGAGTGGAAACCAACCCAGGATTTGGGTCATCCCCTGAGGCCGTGATGGAAAATGAACTCAACGGCCATCTTCTTCTTCAGCGTAATCCTCATCCTCACTATAATCAGTGGAAAACCTACTGTCCTCTGAGTGAGTTTATTGTTTAGTCTGAGTTTTATTTTTGGTTGGTCTCAAAAAGTTGGCAGAAAAAGGAAAAAGGAAGGACAATTTATAAATTTTTTATATGATGATTGATCTAATGTCATGTTCTGGTTAATTTCTGTGCTTTAGTCGACAGCACTGATTCATCCGGAGAAAGTATGAATCCGTACAGCAGCCCGGACCACAGCTGTCTGTCTGCCCTCAGTGCAGAGGTAGTAGACGACTCCTCGTCTGTGTCCCAGAGGTCAGACCAAAAACCAACACGTTACGGGACCCCCAGTCTGAGGAAAAACAGCTCGCCTGCAGTTACCAGAAAGAAGCCTGGAGTCCCCCCTAAGCCTCCACATCTGGCCAAACCTCAGGTGTAAATAAACGCATAGCACTGCAACAGGGTGGGATCTCAACATAACTATTTTGATAATCCTTGTTTAAATGTCAAAATTTTTTTCTCTAGTTAAATGAGCCAAATAATTATAGTAAGAAGGTCACCAGCCTTTTTATTTTTTGAAATAATAAAAATTAAAACAGAAACAGAAATGTATAATTTTTTTTTTTAAATAAATAATCAGGTCTGTAATAGCCATTGTTATCACGTTATCAACTTTCCAGATGCTACTTAAAGGTTGTCTTTAAAGAAACTGAACTTGGTTCTGCTCTACAGGGGAAGCTGGGAAGATCAACAGAAGTTTAACCCTTGATTCTAAACAGACGGTAAGAGTTGTTTAATGACACTTTGAAATGATATAGTTTGGAAATATGAATCCATCAGTTGGGATTTCATTGAAAGTCTCTGTTTTTGTTTTAATAAAGCTTTAACTAAAGAGAACCAATTTGCAAATCACCAAGAAGACCGTAGACTTCACATTTGAAGCTATTTTAGCAATAGTCATTAGCCATCCAATAATCAGCAAGACTCGCCTTCATTGCGTTCCCTGTCTGCCCATCAACCTTTAAGCAGTCATGACTGTTCTCGTCGAACATATTCTTTGCCCCCAGCCGATTTTTCTGTGCATTTCTGATTTTTTGCTACATAAAGTATATGTGATTGGTTCATTGATTGGTTGGTTTATTGATTGATTGACTTTATGAATCTCACAGTGGAGAAATTTACTCGTTATATCAGCTCAAATAGTCAAAGAAGAAAAATGTGCCAAAGGAAGAAAAAGGTGTATGAGATATAAAAAGATTGTTTTGTACTTTTATATAATTTGGGCATGCCATATAATAATTAGAAATGTATTGATGTATAAGAATTCATGGAAACGTGCTCATTTGCAAAGTGTCATATATGCATTAACTGTGTTTGCAGATGAGCTGAGCCCCGCTGCAGACTCCATGAAGACAGAGGGATTACATAAACTAAGATGTTTCTTTGGGCTTCAGAGCAAATGTATCTTATCAGCAAGACTGTATTTTAAATTTTTTTATTTAATCAGTTTTGGGTTTCCAGAGCTGTAGCCATCACTGTGGTTTCTTCTGCCATGCGCAAATGTAACAGTTTTATATTTGATGGGATCAAACAACTTTATTAAACCTTTGGAAGTCATCAGGACCAGCATCTTTATCTAAGGTTACCGTCCTGAGTGTTTATATACATTTATCCACTGCTCAGACTTAAGACTGTATTAGAGAAGCTGGCCACAAGTATAGTTAAATCTATGGACAATTTACTGAGGCAAAGCTGAAAGTATTTGGAAGAGTTTTGTATTTTAATGATCATAAACGACACATATTTCAGTTTATACAGATTTCTATTGGAAGATTTGTGGTACCTTTATGCATATGATTAAATTTCTCTAATGTTTTCTCTTAAATTAATGTGAAAGTCTTTTTCATAACTTATTCATCTGATGGGACAGACCACAAGCCTGTGTTTTAGCTCTATTTTACACAGAAAGACACATATGTAATGACTAAACTGTTAACATACACAGAACCTTCAAGGAGGAAACTCAAACTTTTACAGAAGAACAGCAAACAGCAAGACTGCATTTAAAACCCACAAGGGTCCACAAAACAAATGAGTTTTTATTGATTTTTGCAGATTATTAAAGTGACTTTTTGATTTATATTTGAAAGATAAAAAAATTGTGTTTAATTTATTTTATTTTATTTTTTTGCAGCTTATGCAGTTTCACATCCAAATTATGACAGGCATAGATTTCATATCCTATTTGTGCTTTTAGGTTTAGTCAGTCAATTCTTTTGTCAGTTTTATACTATTTCTTATTTATTTCTTTTAAGTTCTGTTTATTATTTATTGGGCAGTTTGAATGTCAATGATTTGTTCTGAATTTATTCAGTTCGATTGTAATAAAAAGTGAGGATGTGATTATCAAACTTGTGGGGATCTGCTTTCCTTTTATCATTTCTTTGTTTCAGCCAAAACTTCTCAGTTGCATAGAGCTTATGAGAGAGAACGAGACATAGAGAAACGATGAAAATGTTAGATGGCCTTACTTTACCGAAGATTTAGATGGTAAATAAAATAAAGCAAACGTGGAAGGACATAGGAGCTTTGTTTTCCTTAATCAGATTTCAAGATTCAAGTAGGTTATATGTTCCTGGGTTTGACTATTTTGAAAAATATGGCAAATGTGCATTGAGTTTACTTGTTCTCCATGTTGGTTCTCTCGGCTCCTGAATAACAGGTCAATTGATCATCCAAGTTGTAAAACCATCCATTTTCTGTCACGCTTATCCCAAGCAGGATCGCAAGGGGTACTGGTGCCTATCTCCAGCTGTCTATGGGTGAGAGGCGGGGTAGACCCTGGACAGGCCCAAAATCAATTGCAGGGCAACACAGAGACAAACAGGACAAACAACCATTCATGCAAACACTCACACCTAAGGAGAATTCAGGGAAGCCAATTAACCTAACAGTGATGTCTTTGGACTGTGGCAGGAAGTTGGAATACCCGTAGAGAATCCACGCACGCTCAGTGAGCACATGCAAACTCCATGCAGAAAGAGTCCGGGCCGGAAACAAACAGGCAGGCAGGCAGACGGAGGGAGGGAGGGAGGCAGTTAGGGACGGACGGACAGACAGACAGACAGACAGCACTCACATCAGTGAAACATCATGCAAATCTCTAAAACAGTGGTATCCAAATGCAGTCCTAAGATATATTATCTTGCATGTTGACATTACATACAACAGTGGATTAATAAGCTAAACTGAGCAAACAGTAACAAGTAAGGAGCAGCTTCCTAAAAATAGAATGAAGTAGAAAGTACAATATTTGACTCTGAAATCTAGTGGAGTGAAAGTTATAAGTACCCCCCAAAAATTACGCAAGTAAGGTAAAGATACTCAAAAAAGTACTTAAGTACAGTAATCAAATAAATGTACTTTGTTAATTTCCACCACTGACTGTAATGTATAATGAAACATCTGAAAAGACATATCCGTTATTGAATAAAATTGTAATGCAATTTCTATTGTATTAAATTATCTTCCACCCCTTCTGCCTATCTCTAGCTGTTATTGGGGCGACACAGGACAAACAGTCATGCACATGTAACGCAAACCACCATTTATGTAACAGATGACCTTAAAACTAATGATCCCAGAAAAGAACCCTTACATGCACTACAAGAACTACTGTACATGCAGAAAGAACCAGAACTTCCTTACTGCAAAGCTAATAAATCTAAATCGATGTTTTGAGGTGCAGCCTCATCCCAAAGAATTACTCCAAAATATAGGCAAATGGAGCGTTACATAATATTATTACTAATAAACGCCAAAATGATCATGTAATGAATTGAAATTAAGTATAGAGGTAATAAGATATGGAAATAAGCAGACAATTCACACCGCTATTTTTTTCCAGTTCCTTTCAACAAACTGGTTTGACAAAAAGAAGTTATATCTCTATCTGCCTCCCTGACTACAAACAGAGTGACTTATGTTGGTTCTAGAGGGGCGTCCTGATCAGGTTGCAAACGCTACAAATATCCCCCACTAGCTCTTACTCTGCCGGGTCAGTCAGTAAAAGCTGCCTGCAGCTGGAGTGAAACTTTCTCCTTAGAGGATAAATAACCACTTCGCTGCAGATATGAGCCAAGGTAAGGCTGTGATATTTATTTTTTAATTAGAATATTACTATGTTATTATTATTACATTATTATATTGCTTGAACTTGTGGTGGACGTCCTCTATGTTCTGCACACAGATTCATTTGAGTGTGAGATTGAATCATGAGTGAAATGTGATCAGTGGAGAAGGTGAATGAAATGAGATATCACAGATCAGTGCCATTAAAATGATAAGAGGAATGTTTATGTCAAATGATTTATGATCTATGAAGAAACAATTACAAAAATAAAATGAAACCAACACTTTTTACTGTTTTTGTACATGCACACCTTTACATTTTCTTTATATTCAAAAACAACTTTTTTTTCTTAGTAGAAAAAGTGTTGGATATTCAGCGCTGTGATCTGAACATTAAGAGTAACAGCAGCAGCCATCACACTGAGCTGTATGGAGAGGAGCGGCTGATTGTCAGGAGGGGGCAACCCTTCAGCATTGTCTTACACCTGTCACCTAGCAACAAAGAGTTCAAAGAGGGAGAAGAAAACTTCAAGTTTATTGTTGAAACTGGTAATCTTGATTTTTCTGATTAATCAAAGAAAATGTGCCTGCAAACCCAATGTAGACAAGATGGAGTTTTTTAGTTGTGTTTTTATATTGATTTATATTGATTTTCATTTGGATTAAGGCAAACTTGATGGTTGCATCTATGTCTCTGCAGGTCCATTACCCAGAAGAGAATCTGATACTAAAGTTACCTTCAGTTTACAGGAATCCACTGTGGACACAGAGTGGAGCGCCTCTGCTTCCAAAGATGCCTCTGGAGGCACAATAACTGTATCTATCAGTTCGTCCCCCAAAGCCCCCATTGGGGAGTACACTTTGACCTTAGATCAGCTTGGTCAAAAGACCAGTTTGGGAAAGTTTACTCTGCTTTTCAACGCATGGTGTCCACGTAAGTTCATAAAGTTAAATTATTTACTACAGATTTTCTTTCTTTTTTAAATCTAACATTGCAAAACAGTCTTCTTGACTGAAAATTACTACAGTTGCTAATATGGAAGTGTTGCCAATGTGTTTCATCTGTGTGAACTAACAGAGGATGCAGTCTACATGCAGAGTGAGGAAAAGAGGAAGGAGTATGTTCTAGCGCAACACGGGCTGGTCTACAGAGGAAATTTTAAAAGAATCAAAGAGAAACCCTGGAACTTTGGACAGGTACCCAGACCTTTCATTTAGTCTGTTTACTATTCACCACTTCAAAAAACAAGATATTACAACTTTGCATAAAATATACCCGTAGTTAATGTATTCGAATGTGCTCTGCTGATCTCCTGACCACTTCTCTTGTCTTCAGTTTGAACCAGGAATTCTAGATATCTGTCTGAAGATCCTGGATGACAGTCCTAAATTTGTGCCAGATGCTGATAAGGACATTTCGTCCCGGAATAATCCTGTCTATGTGACCAGGGTGCTTAGCGCTATGGTAATAATAACAAGAGCTCTTGTGACACAAACATAAGTTTACATGCTTATTAATAAAAATGGATTTCATGGTAATGAAAAGGTACAGATTTGGCATACTGGAACCCCAGCAGTTGTTTTATTCTTTTGAGGGGGGAGCGGGGTTTGATAGCAGATGAGTTATGGATTCAATGGATTGTTTCCCTGTATAAAACATATGCAAACTGACGCATATGCAAAACTGATGTACTAACCAGATGCACAGCGGGTAGAAGGAGCAGAGGAGTTGGCACAAAAGTGTTTCGTTTTTTTGCCTTCATAAATACACAGAACATATGCTGTTCATAAGTAAGTCCAAAATACATGGAGGAGGATATGCTAAGATAATTTCTCATCATCCATAATAGGATTTTAATGGAATGCATCTATATGTAGTGTGTTTAAACTCAGGCACAAACTTGGTTGCAGAAATGTTTGCAGTCATTGTGGCAGAGTAGGTGAAATAACAAGAGAGAATATTTGATGGGTGTCAACATATCTGGATTGTAAGGAATGAAAATAATTGATATAATATATTAAGAAATCCTATTTTAGTGCAAACTCCTACTTCTATTGAATTGCTTTTCAATGGATTATTCCAGCGTTCCAGCAGAGGTGCATGTCAGAGCAGTTTTTCTGTATTCTGCAAACAGATATAATTTGAATGTCATCTGATACATTATGTAATTCAATGGATGGAAATAATCAGTTTTTGTAAAAGTTAGATAAGATTGCTTTGGGGGTTTTAAGTGTGGTGAAATCTAAAAAAAATCCTGACAGATTACTTTAACAGACTGAAAATTTTAGCTCTTTATTCCTCTGGAATTATGTGGAAAGTTCCGCAAGGAAATCAAACACAGCTTCAGAACCTGGAATAAAATGTTATAAGCAGATGGAACCAATGCTTTCTAGCTTGTGTCATTAAAAACTTACTATTATAACAGTTTTGGTGCCATTTACTGTATTTAGATGCAACTCATCATTATCTTTGATGTGAGGCAGCATTGAAATGAACTTGAGTTTTCATTTCAGTTTTCCAGTTATTACTTCACATGCATGTGCGTTCAGCTCAATGCATGAGTACATCTATTGCTTCTTTTATGTTTATATTTATTTCTCTTGCTGATATTCACACTGTGTGTCTTGCATGCTTGCTGCTGCTGCCTACAGATCAATAGCAATGATGACCGTGGTGTGCTGGTGGGAGAGTGGGCAGACTTTTCAGGAGGCAATCACCCTTCACTGTGGATGGGCAGCGGGGAAATTCTGCGTCAATGGGCAGAAAGTGGTCCAGTCCGTTATGGCCAGTGCTGGGTCTTTGCTGCTGTTGCCTGCACAGGTTAGATGTTACCTATAGGATAATTGGTTTTGTGTTTTTCTATCTTCAAGGTTGAAACATGTTACATTATTTATTGATGCTGAAAATGTCATACTATTATAGCCAACAGAATACAATTCATAAACATAAATCTTTAAGTTACACCAGTAATTTTCTCCACCTTCCTGTGTTCCTTCCCTACAGCTAATCAAAAGTCTAAAATTAGTCTGACAGCCTGATTTCTGTGTCCTCTGTTTGATCTTTCAGCATGTCTTCATGTCCATCTGCAGCCACTGAGGCTATCTCAGTGTTTTAATTTGCCGCTGTAATGCAGAATGATGTTTATCCTTCTTCAGTATCTAGGGCTCTGGGCATTCCATGCCGAGTGGTGACTAACTTTGGATCAGCTCATGACACTGATGCAAACCTGGTGATTGAACGCTTGTACGATGAAAATGGAGACAGAATTTCTGGGGATGATTCAATATGGTGAATATAAACTGTGACCATGAAGGGAATAGATATACAGTAAACTCATTGTTCTCTCATTTGCATTTTTACTAAACAGATCTGCAAAAAAAAGAAAAAAGAGTTTCTTTTTTGTTAAACCTTCTCTTCAGGAACTTCCATGTTTGGGTGGACAGCTGGATGACCCGTCCTGATTTGGGAACCGAGTTTGATGGGTGGCAAACCAGTGACCCAACACCACAGGAGACAAGTGAAGGTAATAAAAAAGCAGTTAAAAAAATAAAATTAACTTATATTCAATGATATTCATCATTACAGCCTGTGGGGTATGAGGCAATTTTTTTTTTTTTTTTTTTTTACAAATGTCCTCCAAATAGATAAAAAACAAGAATAATCAAAATAACACAATTATTCACAACCTTTGACACTGAAAATGAGCATTGGTATATCTGGTTTCATTGATTTCTCCTCAAATTCTGTTGAAGATTTTCAGTTATCCAGCTCATAGTCATTCCAAAAAAGTTAAAAAACAAACCAATGGACTTTGTTTTCCAAGTTTGAAGACGTTTTGCTTCCCATCCAGGAAGCTTTTTCAATGCAATGAGGAATGCTCTGATCTTTATATTGTAGAAACCAAAAAACCTCTCTACAGACCCATGGCTCAACACAGGCAACCTACCTCCTCCGGACAAGACTCAGCTGTACATCTACTCCTTATGGACAAAGGACGTTCATTTGAGGACCAGAATGTTTACATTTTGGACAAAGAAGACAGGTGGTTTTAAAGGGTTGTGAAGGAAGCCATTTATGTTAAGAGAGAAACTTGGAAAATAAAGTCCAGTGGTTTGTTTTTCTTTCTTAACATTTTTTTTTTTTTAGAATTTCTTGTCTCTCTATGACAATTTAGGAGCAGCTTCAGGATATGTGAATTGTCCTCAGGTCAGCCATTGCATGTGCACTCGATCACTCAGGCTTTATTGATGGAGTAGTCAGGCGGACCTGGCAGCCTGCATGAATTTTGCAGAAACACACCTTAAATCTTGTTCGACCAGGAGAAACCAACTTCTCTGGTCTGATGAAATCATTTTATAGGCTCAATTCCAATTATCCTGTCTGGAGAAAATTAGGCGCTGCTCATCACATGTTTTATTTATTTATTTTTTGTTTTGTTTCTGGATCTGTGGCAGGTGTTTTCTGCTGTGGCCCAGCTTCACTGCATGCAGTCAAAGAAGGAGAGGTGGCCATGAAGTATGACACCCCTTTTATTTTTGCTGAGGTGAGATTTCTTGCCTTATGCTCTAAAATGCAATAAGAAACAAAAACCTGTATTTTTATTGAATCACAGTTTATGTTTATCTTTATACTACTGTTATTTTTAAAAACTTTGTGCAGGTTTGAGTTTTTTAAGTGCATGTCACTCATGTCACATTCTTCTCAACCTTTAAAATTGTATTTTTTTTATGGATTTAGGTTAATGCCGATATGCAGGACTTGGTCCGCCTGTCCAATGGGAAGTTTGTGAAGTTCAGTGAATCCACTAAATCTGTTGGAAATTTTATCAGCACAAAAGCTGAGAGACATGACATCACACACCAGTACAAATATCCAGAAGGTAATGCATTGTTTCCTTCCAAGCCAATGAAAAAAAAATAACAGATTTCTAAAACTCGTGTCTAAAGGCAAATCATCTGAATTCAGTTCTGGTGCCACTCTTTCCTTCAGTGAAATAAGAAGTACATTTACAAAAGTAAAATATCTTAAGCCTGTTTTATATATAAATACCCTTTAACACTGCAGGAAAACAGCTACAACATTAACTTTCCACATTTAAGGTTGCAAGCTTCACTACACATTTAAATGGTTTTCTGATGTGAAAAATTAAGTAAATATGTAAAAAAAAAAAAAAAAAAACATTTCATTCTTTTTTTTTCTCCTTTTACTTAATATTTTTATTGGAAGCAAACATTTCATGACAAGAACCAATGTTTTTTTACAGCAAATATTCCATTACAGCCTTTACAGATATAAGTGATATTTCAATAGATATGATGTGCATACAAAGAGCAGAGATATACACTTACCATTCTACAAAATATTTGTTTTCTTTTTTTATTAAAAACATTTCTTTTAGCTTAATAGTATTTTAGTGTAGGGGCCACAACCATCGGTAATCTGACTGTTTGCATGCCGTTGCACATACATACCTGTCACTCTCTGACAAAGACTTGTAATGAAGGCCTTTATCATAGCAGTGTACTCAGCGGCCAGATAAAATTGTCATTGCAACAAGCTTTTTTGAGTATATCAGTTTTGTCCATGGGTAATTATTTTCATTAAACTAGTTAAACTAGCTCGTTAGACTTCTGAAATTATTTCTAATGAAATTATGATGTAACTCTATATGTATAAGATGTATACATGTAGTTTTGTTTTTCTCCTATTGGAATAGCATATCCATACCTTAAATTCTGAAGAGCAATATATTTATTTTTTGGTCCTTTAAAGTTAACACTCACCGAAAATGTTAATGTTTTTTTGAGATGTTAGAATACATTTTCAACTCATTGGACTGCAAATGCTTTTTTAAGCTATTCCATTGTCTGTGCTTGTGATTTTAAGGTTGCTGATTTTTTTATAAGTTTTCTAAACACTAATTCAGACAAAATAAAATTGTTAGGAATTTCCAAGCACAGAATCAGCATCCTTAGAAAAGTTTGACTCATTTAGATTCAGCTATCCTGATTATCTATGTTAAAGGGGCACAGTCAAGTTATAAATATGCCTTTAAATAAAAGGCTGAAAACTATTAGATCTTAATTAGGATGGCTACGAAATGGAGCACGGCCGTCCTGCAATGGGGCAGAGCAGCGTTTGGCGACATTAATGAAATAAACCATCAGATAGTCACTTATTCGGTCTGTCTGTCTGGGAATCAAATATTTTGGGTTTTTACCCTGATCTTGGACCTTTCCTTATAGTTTCATACGTCTGTTTTTATTGTAAATATACAGAAACGGCTTTATTTTCAAACAAACTGAGCAATGAAAAGATGTAATTTACTATATCGTCGCTGTTGGACGGAAACCTTGTATGTCCAAAACCATAAAGTTTACAGGAAATTGTAAAAACAGCGACAGCGGAAGAGTCCAATGGAGTAATGAGATTAAGTCCCAACTTTTTTTCAACACTTTTAATTGGTTAATATTTTCCAAAACATACGTTCACACGTGGGGACTGACCAATCGTATCAATTTATGAAAAAAAAAAAAAAAATTCCAAAATGGGAGTTACAAGGTTTTTTCCCGACAGTGACGATATGCAAAACTTTAAAATAACAAATAATAGGCCAGCAGGATGTACTAATCTTTCAGAAAAAAAATCTCGTATGCAAGCAGAGAGAGCGGCGTATAAAATCTAAAAAAAAATGTTAATCATGTGACCATGTAGCTTTAAGATTTGGACACATTTAAGTTTTTGTTTTAAAAAAGTTTTTGTGTTTTTTAGCTATCTAATCTTTAAAGTTCCAGTTATTTTTTATGCAATTACATAGCTTTAGGAGCTATAGATTATTCAGAAAGACAACTTTGTCACCTTTAACTGTTGCTAACTTAGGCATTTGTTGTTGCAAAACAACTAATTTTAAGTTTTAAGAATTTCAAGCTTCAAATTATAAGAGAAACCATGTGTTTTAATTTTTGTGAAAAAAACAATTATAAAATATTTTCATTACAAACAGCTCATGAATAATAAAGAGGTTTTTGAATGATTTCCAGTAATTATTTTAATATTGGGATGTTATTAATAATTCCCAAAATATTATATTTTCTTTAAGTGTAAATATGCTGAGTTTCAACTGAAATAGATTTGAGGATATCAAAATCTAATAGTTTTGAGCACAAATGTATATAGAAACATGCCATTACATGCCATATATTTCCCTGAAGAATGAAGAAAAGTGTTCTTCAGATTATGAGAATGTTAATTTAGTATGTTGATTAATTTACTAATACTTTTCAAACTTTTTTAAAGCAAGAAGGTCTTATCAGATGCTGCAGTGATTTCAGCTATCTTTAGCATTTCTACTGCCAAACCATATTTATTTATAATCTTGATGGTTTTCAGGCTCAAAAGAGGAGCGGCAGGTGTATGAGAAGGCCCAGAAACGCAACAAGCTGCTGCAGACAGGAGAAAAGCCAGGGCTCCATCTTAAGGTTGTTCTACTTTGTTCAACTGTATGCTGTCCTATTTATCATTCATGAAAAGATTTGTTAAACCCTCAAAAATTCTAGGTTGTTAGATATAGCTGATGTCCATAGTTCTTTGTAAATTATGTAGTCTTCTCTACCCATAGGCCTGGTTTTAGGATTTAAGTAATGATCATTACGTAAGTCGGTAAGGTTAGAGAAGGTGAATAGAAAAAATATAGATCCACTTTCATACTAATTATAGCTTATATTGATAATAATTAATAAAATTACTCTATTTAGAGACCAGGGAGATAATGGGAACACTTGTTTATATCCTGAGGCAAAAAGAAGCAGCAGGGAATGAAGGCAGGGTTTGTGATGCGATGGATCCACCTGGTGCACACTGAGCACATTGAGATATGAGTGATCGGGAAAGGTTTTCCTGGGCTCATTTTCATTCTTTTGACAGCACTGTAACTGTACCATTTCTTTGCAAAACTTAGGCAAAATAATTTTAAAGTCTTGTCTAAGAGTTATTTACCATAAGAAGTATTAAAGTGTTATTTTAAAGAGTGATCTCTTTAGCCTAAAAAAAACATGGGATAAGCCCCAAGCCGAAAGCAGCAGGCTATATTACACCTACATGTTGTAGTTGTGTTTCTGCTCAAATACACTTGATTTGTTGGCTGAATGAAGTCTTTATTTTGTGCAGATACCTGTTTTTGAGCCATTTATGTAAAGATAATCCAAAAAGGAGAGTGGTGTAGCTCCACAAAAACCTTATCTGTTTGTTCCACCTTTCTACTGTCTTGCTCCTCTTTTACTAAATCAGTCTTTATGTTTATATTTAATGTATTGCATTTGATCAAGCAATGTAAACAGGGTCAAAACTGACTATTCAAAATAAACTGCAATGCTCACTAATTAAAAAGATAAGTTAGTGGAAAGAATGACAGACAGCTGGTTTGAATGATTTCTGTCTACATCAGTTCCTGCAGGACTTTCACAAATTACTTTTTATTTTCTTCTTCTTCTATTTTAAGATCAAGCTGGCTAAAAACATGATTGTCGGCTCCAACTTTGAGGTGTATGCTGTCCTGACAAACAACTTCTTGGACGCAAGGACCTGTAACCTGCTTTTCTTTGCCAGAGCGATCAGCTACAATGGAAAACTCGGTGACAGCTGTGGATTTTCATCGGAAAACTTAGAAGTGCCCTCTGGAGAAGGTTTGTACGAGCACCTTAGTATCTGTTCATTTTCTTTAGGAAGTGCTACTTTTTTTAAATGGAAGGGAAATCCTCTGTAGTTTCAAATTTCAACACAAAGAAAACTTTGAAATAAGTAACCTGTATTTGTATCCAGTACCATTTACTATAAAACATAAATAATCTAGATTCTAGATTATTTATGTTTTAGATCATTAACAAATTTAAATGAATTGTTCCTTGGCATGAGGTGCACATTTTTCTTTAAATCCATTTATAAGTTTATAAATAACGCACATCGTGTTTCTGCAGCCTCTGGTGTTTGTTCTGCTCACACCTTCTTCATTCACTCTGCTTTCTTGTTTTATCAGCAGATTTAAGACTTCAAGTGATGCATGGCTCCCCTTTTCTGTGTTTTTGCCTACAGTATATAACCTCTTGACTTTTTTGAGTCCGATGCTGAAGCTGTCAAAAGTCAGTGCAGCCACTCTCTGGTTAGGGTGGAACTGCTTGTTCTGCCAAATACCTTTCCTGAAACCGTATTTTAATGTGGATTATGACCAAAATTTAATGGATTGTTCCTTGAACTGAGGTGCATTTATGGTAAAAAAAAAAAAAAAAAAACTTAAAATCCGTTCATAACTTTTCCAGTTATGCTGTTCACAGACAGAGAGACAAACTCGACTAAAAACATAATCCCCTTGGTGGAGGTAACCAGGCAGTTACATGAAGTGCCTCAGAAAATTTTAGAGAGAAAATTATAAACCCAACATCCTCAAGCTAAAGGAGCAAAGCAGCCAGATGAGCGATTTGGTTGGTGAGAAAAGCTGCGTTACTTAACTTGTGTCAGTGGTCATTATTTTTAGACATGTTATGCTTTGTTCAGAGAGACGTCTTTCTCTGAAACTGGAGTACAACAGATATGGAACAGCGATCGACCCTGATATGATGATTCAAGTGTCGGCCATCACCATCGACAAGCAAACCATAGATTTCCACAAGGCTGAAAAAATAATTGTGCTAGATGAACCGGACGTGGGGATCAAGGTAAGAATAATGCAGGACATCTGAAAAATGATGGAAACAAGCATGGCCGCGGGAAGTGGGGATGCTACAGCATCCCCTAGTGTCAAGAGGGAGATTTTTAAATAATTTATTAAAAATGCACAATTTATACATTTCTTATGAATATTTTTGGAAATGATTTTTACTTTTTTATATTTTACTATTATGTGTATTTGGATTTTAATTTAATTTTGAAGCCTATAAACACAAGTTCACAGAAGTTACGTTGCCTTAGCAACGTCAAGCAAGCTAAAGGTTGCCGAGTAAAGAGTTATCCCGCTCGTGGCAGGAGACTAGTAAATTTACATAGTCTAATGACAGGAAAGAGGAGAAAATATGGCACAGAAACGCATTTCTGACTTTTTTGTAAAACCCTCACCAGTGAAGAAGAACACTAGTACCGCAACCACAGCAACAGAGAGCGGCCAGAATGAGGAGACTGTCCGCCCGCTCTGATGGCAGTGAAGTTTAATTAATAGCACATATATTCACCTGAAAACTGATGTCTGTGTTTAACAGACCCTAATTGCGTGCACTGAAGTGTAAAAGTAGTGAAAACTCAATCTATTCATTTATTTTTATGTAATGTGTTTTAAATAGGTCTATAGGCTTGTAGGTCTTTTGTCCAAAAAAAAGGTTGCACATTTTTGTAAAATATTGACACTTGGCAAAAAACTCTTTCCAAAAAAAAAATTGTTTAATTAACTAGTAAATACAACATTGATCCCTCTAGTTCCTTAACAGTCCAAACCTTTTCTGAGCTAAATTTGATTTTTGCGCACATTGGGAGTGCAATTCACCTCAAATCTATGTTGTAATTTTAACAACTGAAGCATCTAAATTTTAACTCCACACAGTTTTTTCTCACTTGATTAACTAGCAGGTGCAGCGAGATTCATGCTCTTGAAGTTTTCAACATGTTTGTCCCATCAAAACTGCATCTGTGTATTCTATTAGTGTTTTATGTAATAAGGAGTGCATGATTGGGAAGTAGGGGAAAATGGCTCAACCAGAAACCCATGGCCGATCACCAACATTGTCAGGCTACACAATAGAAGCATTGATCAGCGAAGCAGTCTAGAGGTCTATGGGGGCTCTGGAGGGGCCGCAAAGATCCACAGATGAGGCAGAAATATCTGTCCACTTGACAAATTATGCACTCCACAAATTTGTCTTTAAAGAAAAATTGGCAAGACAAACATGATTGTAAAAAACATGAGAGATAATGTCTTGAAACTGAAATTAAATTGTGAAAAACTCAAAATGAGGTGGAAAACCCTACACATCACTACGAACATAACGTACTTCCATTGTCCTATTGGTTATGCACGGCGGTGGCAGCATTACACACATTAAAGGCGGAGTTTTAACGTGCAGCAGGAAAATGACCCAGTACATACAATCGAAGCATCTTCTTATGTTTAAATGTCCAAGTCAAAGGCCAGATCTAAATCAAGTAAAAAAAATCAGTGCAAACACATGATGCCACAACAGGATTTGTATGTGTTAAAAAAATAAAAAACCTCTACAACTAATTCTCTATATCTGTTAGTCAGTGGTTTTTACTGGTTATTAAATAGAATGTCAATAAACGAACTGTATATGAAATGTTTAAAAGTTAACTTCTGCAAAGCATTGAACTTCTATTAACTGACTGCAGACATTGACAAACAGCTTAAAACATCAAAAATGTTCAACACTAACGCTTCTGTTTATGTTTGAGTTAGACCTAAAGATATGGATTTGTGTTAGAATTACATGAGAGCAAATACCTGCCCCTCAACACAGTAATTTACAACACAGCATATTACAAGAAGACATTTATCCATAAAAATAAACTTAAACTGATTTGTATATTTCTTTTCTCTATTCAAGTGAAATGAAATGGTTAACCAAACTAACTTAATTCACAAGATTGTGTCCTACTGTTATCAATGATTATATTACAAATGCGAAAAATATAAACATAAAAGAAAAAACACGACGCTTTGTTATAAACATTTTTGGCGAGGGCGCCGCCATGTTGCCAGCTAAACCTCTCAACCATGAGGTACAGTATAGCTGGTATAGTATATGAAAAAAGCTTAATCTTTTTTATTTTATGTTTACCGTATATACTTCATATTTGTACTATAATTCTTGACAACAGTAAGACACAATATCTTGAACTAAATTAGTTTGGTTAACAGTTTCATTCCCACTTTAAAAGCAAGAATGTGCTCACAGTTCATGTTTTAAAAATCTACCAATATGTCCACCTGATAGCACTTTATGTCATCTCTTTTATGGGGAACCTGATCCTCCGTCTACAGCTGCTGGGTGAAGCCAGAGTGAACCAGCCTGTGACTGCGCAGCTGACCTTGTTAAACTCTTTACCAGAGCCGCTGCTAAACTGCAGCTTCGCTATAGAGGGCATCGGTCTCACAGACGGCAAACCCATAAAAGCAAAGTATGTCAAGTTTTTACCTCTTTTATCTGCAAAGAGATCCTGGATTAAGAATGTGTATTGTATGTGATATAATATATTTCAAGACAAAGGATTTTTTAAAAATAAAAAGAAGGGAGTGTTTCGAATTTTAGCGCCTATAACTAGGTCTTTGCATGAGGAACAGGGATCAGATATAACAAAGGTTAGGACAGGGTGTCTCCAAAAAAAAAGTAACCCTGCTATGACCAATACTTACTGATGACCAATATTCAGAGAGAAAGAGAAAAATGTAAATGATTAGAAAATATGTCAATGTATGTCAAATAAACTGTCAATAAAACACAGATACCCTAATGCTACGTTCACACCCCAAGTGCTGAGTAGTAGAAGCAATGGGTCTACAGTTGACACACATCAAGGCTCATTAAAGGTTGTGCAGTGCATCTAGAACAGCATCGCATCGGAGCAACTGAAGAAGCTCCACATGCACTTCTGGGCATCCTAGGCGCATGACACACTTCACAAACAGCAGATGTTGGAGTTAGATAAGATTAGCTTTTGCTGCTTGAAGTGCCACATCAACCAATCAGAGCGTTGCTGATGCAGAGTGCTATTATCACTCCACTAAAACTGTTTATTAACGCCTACATTGACTTAAAATGTCTAAACCTGCCAGCAAAATATGTTGTATTTTGTCCTCCTGGTGCCTGCAGTTTGTACCACATACCTGAAAAATGCTAACATCTGCATCCAGTAACCACGAATAGTAGGGGAAAATCTCCAAGAGGTGGCCAGGCCTGAGGCAGCTGCTGCTGGGCATTCCCAGTGACAGCGCACCGCCGGTATGTGGGGGTCTGAGCTGCCGATAATAAAAAAGGCAGGATCGTAAATTTCGATGAATTGACCGCACAGATGATGTTTTAAGGTGGACTTTCTCACTTAAAAATATATTAAAACTACTTTCTACCCACCTATAACAGCAAATATAGCAAAGCCGTTCTCTACCATTGAACACAGGAGCAGCAGAAGCATCAGACGCATCTGGACACACTTTACTGGACGCAACTCAGGAGCATCAAGGATGCGTCTGACCTTAATGTGTACAAACATCCTAAATGATGCTGCGGGTTCTTTTTTGCTGCTGAAATTGGATTAGGTGTGAACGTAGCATAAGAACTAAGAACAACAGAGCAAACATAAACCTATAAAAGCTAGAGGCCCAAATAATTGTGATGAATCTGTCTTACAGGGTGGGAACTGTGGGAGCGAAGCAAGAAGCAAAGGCCAGCATTGACTTTAAGCCCACCATCACCGGCTCCAGTGTGCTGCTGGTGAACTTTGATAGTGACAAACTGAAGAACATCAAGAGCTTCATTGATGTCGTTGTGAAAGAATGAATCAGACCACAACTCTTGGCAATCGAGCCATTTGATGTTGTAGTTTAACTTAAAGCCATAATGTTTTCATTTTATGAGATTTAAATGTACAGTAATGAAAAAGGAGTAAAGATTTTTATCAATATACACATATGTTTGAATTTGTTAATAGAGTACATTCATTACACTGCTGTTATCCAAATAAGAGGAATTTGTGCAGAAGGCAAAGATAGAATTGAAATGGAAATAAAACATTTGGAAAGGAATCATAAACATATACAAATAAAAGCTTATGAATTCTTGAAAACAGCTTCCGAGACTATAAATAATATTACGTTCACAGGTAACAATTATGGTAGACATTTATTCAACCAGCATGCGTCCTCAGATCATGCAACTACTTTGGCCTTATATTAGTTGGCTTTTGTTGTGTCCTCCCTGAGCTGTAATTATTCTGTCCAATCACCATCCTTATATGCCACACCTGGGAAGTGAATAAATTGTCTCAGGTGAAGGAAAAGTGCTTGCAACTGTATGTGCATGTAGTAAGTCCTTGATCTTTGGAGCTTATGAAAAATGGAAGCAGTAACATAAGTTTTGCTTTTTCTATCTTTATTAACAACATATATTTAAGGGTTAGAATGTATAATTTAAGACTTGACATTACATCAGATCAATAAACAAAGGAAAAGAACATTTCCAATTTTTTCTTTATCACGAAAACAAGTGATCATGTTGTCTGGCTTAAACCACTAAAGACTTAATACAAGCCAGTGTCATTGACCTCCACTGTCAGGACGGCTTCACCTGAATCTGTCATGGAGGCACTGATGATAACATAGTCACCCTCATAAAAAATGCCCGACTCATCAGCTTTTCCTCTGACAAAGTTACTCTCACCTCCATTGTACATCTTGTCGTAAAGACTGTGGTCACAGTTTTTATCTTTATTAAAGATTCCCACAGCAAACCAGTTGGAGTAAAGGATTCTGTCATAAGGCACAGAGAACATGACGGCCATGATGTGGCTGTAGTCGTTCAACTCGGCATTGAAAAGGTCGTAAGTAAAGACACCAACGGCCCCTGTAGCTGCTCCTTTAGTCTTTTTAAAATGTGCCTTCACGGCAGAGCAAGGACCAACCATTGGAGGCAAAGGCACCTCACAGAAGCCGCTCTCAGTGTAGACCCTGGAAAAATGAAGAAATAAAAGCAGATTGGGTTTTTTTGCAATGTGAGAAATTCTCTTCCTGGGCGGGGTTTTATCTTATTATTTGATCTGCAGTCATGAAACCATTCACAACAGACTTTTTTTCTTTCTCAAATGCTGGCTGTATATGATATAAGTGTTCTGATGGAAATTTTGATTAATCTCCTAAATTTGTAATTAAAACCATTCTTCACTTAAGACATTTAAAATTTGTTTACAACATATCATTACATATTTGTACAAGAACACAATAAAATATATGTTTTCTGTGTAAAATTTGGACAAAAAGTTACAGTTAAATGTATTAGTTTGTTTTAAAGGGGTCATAGAATGATTATATAGGGTGTTTGGTGTTGGTCCTTAAGGTCTCTTAATAGCATGTGTAACTTTGGTTGGGCTGAAAATGGCATATTTGCTGTTCTATGAGCCCTAATGCAAGCCTGGTTATAAGCCTCAGAATGAAACGACAGGTTTTCTTCCTTTTATGGTATGTTCATGAATATTTAGATGAGCTGCACGCTGATTGGTTGCTTTACAATGAGCGAAGCTGATGAGCATCATAGCAACAAGCACTCACTCACTGAAACATCGAAATTCTTGATATAGGTAGAAACCAGACGTCCTCTTTTTCCCAGACATGTCCTACTTTTCAAACCTAAAAAAATGTCCTTAGGGAATTTCAAAATCGTCCGGGATTTTGGTCGAATACAGTGCAGCAGAACCGAGCCGTGAGCTCCGGGGCGGGTCTGACCTGGGGAAGGAGCGACCAAACCTGACCCTGTGAAGGTAGCCTGGACACCGGCGGCCCTGTGCTTCCCCCTGTCTGCTTTACAAAGTAAGGCAGGCGAAGCATACCGTCACCGGGTCAGGTTCGGTAACCCGGTCGCTGGGATTCCCGGACCAGCCCCGGAGCTCACTGCTCGGTTTGAATGCCCGGTCGGGTCCAGCCAGTGGCCCAGCAGCCCCCCCAAAGTTTAGCAAATTGTGCTTTGAACTGTCCAAGATTTTGAAAGCTGTCTTCAGTAAAATGCTTAGAGCAAATAAACAGCTGGGCATCAAACTTTACAGGGATCTTCTGGTAGACAAAAATAATCCATGCCTGTCAAGTCTTCAGATCCTTGGGAAGACTGTGAAAATGTTCCCCTTTCTCCGTTCAGCCTGGAACACTGCATTTACTGTATGTCAATTTTTCGACAAAAGTACAGGTCAGAACCAAATAAGGCAACATCCCCGAGTTTACGTCAACTTGGGGCTTCGTTTGGGTTTGCTTGTTTTATGGTGGAAGTTTGGAATTGTGAGATTTGCATAGAAAGGAGGTGTCGATGGGGTTTGAACTTCTCTGTACGTCACTTTCACCCACTGAACTATTGTTATTCATCTATAACAATGTACACTCGGTTTTGCATTCTATGACCCCTTAAAATTACTACCAAATTCCTTATGAAATGTCCATTGTCACATTTCCTTTGCTGTTGTATGGACACTGTTGTAAACCCACAAATTGGGTCTTAAAAGTGACGCATTACCTTGGGTTGGAAAGAGTGTAGGAGTTTGTGTTGTTCTTAATCTCAACAGAGCACTGACGGTGAGGCATTGTGTTGAGGTTTGCTGAGTGGGGTAAGAGACCAGACTGTGACCTGCAAAAAAAAACATATAAAAAAAAACCTTTAAAAAATAAGGTTATGGACCATATGGATAAGCTGGATTTAAAAAAAAATTAATATTTTTAATATACAGAAATATGTAATTCAGAAGGATAGTCAGGTAAATGTCCAAGAGGAAATTTTTTTTATTAAATTGCAGCTAACGAATTGATTTAATGGGAAAAATCTAAAAATAAACGTCAACAGGTTGCACACTTTTAAAGATGGAACATTTTCTAACTGCAGCTTTGCTTACCTTTATTCAGCCTGCTTGTTCAAAAGAAATACAGATGATTCTAGAAGACAGATTGGGGATCCTGGTTCCAGACTGAATGAAGCCACTCTGCGTCAGCTCGTGACTGACGAGGTTTTATTGACACAGATAATCAGGACCTTTAACATTTGACTTCCTCTTTATCTAACTCTGAGCATTTTCCCCAGTGTGACACAAATTATCACACAGGGAGATAAGAATAGGCTGATTCAATCACAGTGTGTTTAGCTTCTGTTAAAAGGTTTGCTTTGCTGTTTTTCACTTACAAAAAAGTTGTTGGGAATATAGAAACAGATTAGTTAGTGATGGTTGTATAGTACTAAGATGAAATATCCCTATAATATGGGCAACAAATGAATGGTTTTCAGTTTATCAGCCAAGAGTGTGTCCTTTAACCAGGATACTACCACACTGTTGTTAATCTGAATCATTAATAAAACATAGGCACCGGTTCCTGGTAAATAATGACAGGGGCATATTTGTTGGGTTTTTAACAATCAAATCAGAAACTTGACTCTTCAACAATGTTTCAGGAAAAAAAACTCTTAAAAATTAAAATATGGTTGTTGTTATAGAGGTGATTTATTTGCATTGCTTGAAATTATTGCATAAAGACAATTAAAATCACCTCCCCACCTAAATATCTGCCTATTGAAGTAAACCACTAAATTTATTAATCTTGCTTTATTGTGACTAAGATTAAAAAAAAAAAAAGGAGTCTTAGAAAACAGCAGAAATTAAAATTTAAAAGTCTTAAAGTTTTGTTAACAGACTGATCTCTCGTTGAGAGACGCCAAAGTAACCAGAAACAGGCTATGGAATACGTATGTGTGTACTTTGGTTCTGTGTGTACCAAAGTTCACACATAACCAAGATACATGAGGAGACACTTAGAAAACATTTATAACTTCTTGTATGTTTGTGTTTCTATAAAACATATATTACCATCGGTCTAGAAATAAGCAATGGCTTAATGGTTGCTTTATTTGTCACAGAACCTGGAGCAGCATGGGAGACATTTCAGTTTCCATACAGCCTGTACAGGAAAAGACCACAGACATTATACTGTAAATGGGGGGACACGGGGTCTGGGGCCTTGCTGCACCTTAAAGGCCTGAACGGCACATTAGATAAGAGAAAAAAAAGAGAAAAGGCTCACAATGGGAAAGAGGATGTAGGCCTCTGCAGTTTTTAAAGGTAAAACTCCATTGAAACCGCCGATCTGCAGAGAAAGATTTAATGAGCATAGCCTTTGAATGGAACAAAACAGAATGGAATGAGATGATCACTGAAACCTACTGATATCCACTGATGGGCACGTTACTTTGAAAAAGTTATTAGTTATAGTTACTAGTAACTTCTCCCCAAAAAGTAACTGAGTTACTAACTGAGTTACTCCACGATAAAAGTAACTAGTTATTAGTAAAAGTAACTATTGCGTGTGTTTCAAAGCCAGCTGAATACAGTGGATGACAAAAACAAGTACCTGCAGAGAGTTTTGCATTTATTGCAACTCAACGTAAATGACATCGGGGGGAACGTTATCTGCCGGAGTCCTCTTCACTCTCCATCTCTCTGTGTGTGCTGTACGTTAACACCCGCCAGCGGAAACACCCACCTACCCAACTGACAGACAGAATCTCACTATACATCAGCCAATCTCATCCTCCCCTCTTTCATCACAAGGCGCGTACGAGTCCTATCATGAAAAAAGGTTAATTGTGCGACCTGAGTGACGTGCATTTATGGGGTGTCGGCAATGGTAACTGCGTTATAGTTACAGTCAAAGTAATTAGTTAGATTACTCGTTACTAAAAAAAGGTAACGCCGTTAGTAAAGCCGTTACTTTCAACGCCGTTACTCACATCACTCGTGATATCCAAACAACTCTAGGTGTCAGTGATTATATCATTTTAAAAAATTTACATTTTTAGTTTTTAAATTTTAAAAACAAGCTGTTTTAAATGAAATATTTTTTGTACACACTCGTGTATACAAAATGACAAAATAAATCGGTCTAAGTCTAATTTTCTTGTGGTGTTCTTGTTCCATGAAGTGGTTCTAGGGTCTAAGAGTTGTTTTTAAAGAAATGTTGATTGAAATTGGGATATAGAAACTAATAATCAATTTTGAGAGATAATTGATTTGATTTTACAAGGTTTCCAATCTTTACAGTTTTTGAATACACACCCCACCCCCACAACCACCACCACCCCAAGACCCTGCAACTGCAGCCAAACTAGATGGAAAATCATATGTGACTATACACACACCGGCCTGTGCCCACATCCTTTCATAATGCATAATTATTTCTTCATTCCATTTTATGTCTGACCCTAACCCTTCTTCTTATCTTTACCCTAATCAATTTCAGTACATACCTAACCCTAAACTGAACCTAAACTTAGTCTACACCTTAGTCCTAAACCTCATACTCGACCCAAGAGGAGAACTTCTCATGGGAATCATTCATCAGTCCCCCAATGTAGTATATTCACATACACAATTCTTTTTTTTTTTTTTTTTTTTTAATACACAATTCTAAATGACGAATCGTCTAATGATATCACAGCACAGTATATCAGTATCACAAATTTGTTAAAGGCTTAAAAGAGCAGGTATGATGCATACACTAGAGACTGACATTTTTTCGGGAATCCCACGGGTCACGGGATTCCCGTGGGATGGGAGTCAGTATTAGTAACGATCACGTGATTGGGACGGTACAGGATTAAACATTAACGGGAGCAGACGGGAGCAGGAGCAAACCAATAGTAACTAAAAAAAACTAGGATCGATGCCAAAAAAAAAAAATAAAAGCCTACACTATAATGCGAGTCAAAAAAACTACACGACCCAAAAACCAACAGTGCTTCCGCTCTGAGTTTTTCACCCACGCTCAAAAACAAGAATGGGAGTGGTGCAGGAGCGGGAGTCATTCTGAATGGGAGCGGGATGGGAGTGGGAGTAATTTCACCAGGAGTGGGACGGGACAGGATTTAGATTTCTACTCTGGCCCGGGATCTGGATGGGACACAATTTTTTTCTGTGGGAGTGAGAAGGGACAGGAGTGAAAATCCACTTCCGTGTCAGTCTCTAGTATACACAAAAAGAAAGGATATTTGCTTGACATTCTGCAGCCTTTTCTTTTTGTTTACAATATAAATAAACATAAAACGAGCACTGAGGAATGAGAGAGGAAGAATAAAAAGAAAAGAAATAAATACAAGGGAGAAGGGGTCCACTTGAACAGAACTAAATCAGAGATAATCATGCACAGATTGTCTTTTTGAGAGCATTTGTCCCTCTAGACATCATCTCAATTTAGTTCAAGCTCATATTCCAAATCAGCCTTGACTAGTAAGTAGCAAAAAAGATCTAAAGACAGAATTTCATTATAGGCCTATACTTTAGAAATTGTAGACTTTAAAATAGGGTCATGGGTCAGAAACTCCTCCCACTGCAGAGAGTTGGTGGGATAGAGTGAAAGTCTGTGAGTAAAACCTTGGAACAGTCAAATCGGAAAGAAAGAGTTATTCTAGAAGTTTTATAAATACCTTTCATCTGCTTTTTTGCAATTTGACTTTAGCTGTCAGACCCAGTCACACTTTTCCACTAGTTTTATTGATTTCTGATTTTCACTGTTATTTTATTTTTTTACAAGCACATATTTAAATGGCACTATTCCTTCTTGTATGTAATATATTTTGGCCCAGACCAAAGAAGATTTGAACAGGCACACAAAAACCTGATTGATTAGTATAATTTGGTTCTCATACATGTATTATCAGTGGGGGGGGTGTCAATCTTGGTCTTTAAGAATAATATTTCTGGTGAATTTAAACGTAAACAAATCAAATAATGACAGTTGTAATTATCTCAGAATTCTTCATTTGGAATTCTGATGACAGGTCTGTATTACATCACAGAGGACCTTTATATTCCAAGCAAGAATTCTAGCAGACTCATTTCTGCACCGTCAAGGTCAACATTAGCACAGCACAAAGGTTTTAATCCTCTGGAGGAAAATATAAGAGAAAACATGTCACTGCATAATGAGCTTCGCCTGACGAGGCAGTTGTGTGACGCTGTCATCAGGGTGGACGGTGCTGAATTTTCCGTGCACAAGCTTGTCCTGTGCAAATGCAGCCCATATTTCAGGTAAGGTCTTAGCAGGAGATGCTGCAGACTTTTTGAGAAAGAAATGGCCTGTTATGAGAAAACAAATAAGAGTAAGAGCCTGTGATAAGAAGTAAATTTAATGGAAAGTTCTGGCTATCGTTTGTTTGTGGATTCAGGATCTTCGTAATGATCTGAAACGCTGTGTCTATTCATCAAATGTTTAATAAGTGTTTTCTCTCTCTTTGTTTTTCACAGGGCTCTGTTTAGCCGCTGGTCAACACCAGCCTGTGCGACCTTTGACATCCCTGAAGTCACACCCTACCAAATGTGCCTCATTATTGATTTTGCCTACACAGGCTATGTTCCTCTGACAAATGAAAACGCTCTGGAGCTCTTCATAATGGCAGACCACTTTGGTATTAGTGGCCTTTTACAAGCTTGCAGTGATTTCTTGGAGAAACACCTGAGCCCCCTGAACTGCATCCAAATCTGGAAGCTTACGTACACGTTCTACCACCCTGAACTTAGAGACAATGCCTTTTCATATGTCCTTAGACATTTTGAGGAGGTTGTCTCTACTTGTGGAGATTTCCTTCTTCTCTCTGCACAGAGTCTTGCTGATATCATTGGCAGTGACCTGCTAATTGTAAAGCGGGAAGAGATAGTATATGAAGCCATTCTTAAATGGATGAACTATGCACCTGAGGAAAGGAAAGAATACAGCTCACTGCTGTTTCCCAAGGTACTTTGACAAAAACAGTCTTCACTTACATTTTACCCAAAAAAATTGTATTCTTTCTTTGATACATAATTAGATACATGAACAATCGAAATATTGACATCAACTGCAGATCTGGTTTTGGGTCATTAAGGCAGTAACCCAGAGTAGGGAGTGTATATGGTCTGTCATCTAGTGGCCAAATAGGTTGAGGCACAAGTGCCTAGGTGCTACTTTTAGCTGTGTTTAATATAGAAATTAATTATTAGAGAATCAGAGTAGGAATATAAAAACTTGAGTTTAGGAGGGTAAGAAAAGGACTTGGCTGGGACACCATTCATGAAACGACAGGACACAAGGATATGATTCATGGAATAATTACAATCTATCAGTGAAAAATGGTTTTATTTTTTCTTTATTTTCTAAGGTCACAATTAAAAACACAGGGTGAGATTGAGTACAAATTTAGGTTGATAGAAAAAACTTTACAAAAGAAAAAACAACCAATAATATAATAACCAATTAAACAATTTTATAATTAATCAACCAAGGCCTTAGTTCTAACGAAGTTTTGGAAAGGCAAGTGTTAAGAACTGTGGTTCCCTGCTTTATACAATATAAATCGACTCATGTGCTTATGTCTCTGTACAGGTCAGACTGGCTTGGATGTCTCCAAAGTACCTGCGTGAAAACGTGAATGAGAGGGAATTTGTGGAATCAATTCCAGAACGTCAGGCGAAGTACTTCCAGTCTCTGAAAATCATTCCAGACCACTGGAGGGAGACAAGCTACAGGTCCTTCATCTGCCCAACTTTGGCAAAGCCCCGAGTCCCCCCCGCCCTCATGCTGGCTATAGGTGGATGGACTGAGAGAGGCCCTACCAGTTTGATTGAAGCCTATGAATCCAACACTGAGTACTGGAAACGTGCGCCTATGACCACAGAAACTTCCCTGGTTTATCATGGGAGTGTTTTCCTCAATGGATCAGTTTATATTGTTGGTGGCTTTGATGGTGTTAAGCAGCCCAATGCCATGCACAGACTTGACTTGGCCTCAATGACCTGGTATGAGGTGTCACCAATGCACAGCAAGCGCTGCTTCGTTAGTGTCACCGTGATGAATGGGTTCATATACGCCATGGGAGGTTGCAATGGATCCCAACGGCTCAACACTGTTGAGCGCTACGATCCAAGAAGCAACCAATGGACGCTTATATCTTCCATGCATGAGAAAAGGAGTGATGCCAGTTGTACAACCCTTAATGGCAGAGTGAGTGACAGTAGTTTATTTTAAGGGCAACAAGTATATATTAAAAATCTCATGGTGTCACACACGTTTGCCTATTGTTAAAAGTTAGTCCTAAAAACACAACATATTTATAATGGTAGGGGGATTTCTAGAGATAGACCTCTTCAACCAAACACTTTTCTTTTAAAATGTTTTCCAGGTGTACATCTGCGGTGGCTTTAATGGAAGCGAGTATCTATCAACAGCTGAGGTTTACAACCCAGACACAGACCAGTGGACCATGATTGCCAACATGAGCAGCAAACGCAGCGGACTTGGTGTTGCTGCTTTTGGTGACTATATCTTTGCAGTAAGTATAGAGGTGCACAATCACAAGACTGAGCAAAGCAGAAATGTTTCTTTTTCAACCTAACCAAATGGTCCTGTCAATATTATGTGCCAAATAAATAAAATAATGTTTAGGTGTATTTACATTTCTGGAAAATTCAATGAAAAAAAACAAACTTCTATGGGTGTGTAAGTCTTCATTTTGTCCACTTTATTATTACTTTTGAGACTTAAACAGCTTTATTAGAAAACTGAAACAATTAGAGCTTAGAATTAGAATTCAACTTTATTGTCATTAGACTCTCAGAAGTATAAAAGCAACAAAATTGTGGGTTTCAGTGTTGGGTTAAGGGTCTTGCTCATGCTCTGAGAAAGCTGCAAATACCCAGTTTGATCCCCACAGCCTGCACTCTGGGTCCCTGAGCAAGACCCTTAACCCCACACGGCTCCCTGGGCAACAGACAATGGCAGCCCACTGCTCACCAAGGGGATGGATTAAAATGCAGAGAGTGAATTTCCCAATTGTGGGAAAATAAAGGGATTTACATAACATTACATAACATAACTTCGTAAGACTTCTTGAAATCAGGATATATATAAATTCAAAACTAATCTTACTAAGTGCAATAAGAATAAAACAAATGTGTAATAATATAAAAATAAGAAAATAATATTATCTCTGACACCTTGTTAATTTGATGACACTGCTTAGGTTTCAGTGATTATCTTATTCTGTTTTGTTCCATTCTGACATATTCTCTTTAAATCTTTCTCTGCAGGTTGGTGGTTTCGATGGATTCTCACGTTTAAACACTGTTGAGGCCTACAATGTCTCCACCAAAACCTGGTGCAAATTTCCCAGCATGAAAAAGAAACGCAGCAACTTTGGCATTTCCGTGATGGAAGACCTCCTCTTTGCCGTCGGAGGCTTTGGTGGCGTCTCTACCATCTCTGATGTCGAATTCTATGACATTAAGGCCAACATGTGGGTCAAAGCCAACAGCATGAAGATGTCCCGCAGCGCTCTGAGCTGCTGTGTGGTGGACAGGCTCTACAACACAGCTTATTATGCTGACCATCCCAATTCTGGCCAGCTCAACTACTTACCTTCAGATGAGGAAGAAGAGATGGAGCAATGAAGTCCATCCATTTGTATTTCTCTATTAAAAAATCCTCTGTAAACATTTCTCCATCTTATTTCACATACATTGATTGATTGATTGATTGATTGACTTTATTGATCTCACAGTGGAGAAATGTTATTGTTACATCAGCTCAAATATTCAAAGAAGAATGTGCTAAAGGAAGGAAAAGGTGCATGGGATATATAGAGTATATACAGTGCGTCCACATATGACAGCCTTTCCTGCAAGCCCCCCTTCCCTCTTCAAGTTTGTGTATTTACTCTACCTTGCTAACTGTCCCTATTGTAATTAAAATAATATATGATATGACCAGCCCTTCTACATGAGACTGTATAAAGGCTGAAACAGACTGGCATCAGACCAAGAGCATGCTCCAAACACATTTCATTACCTTCCCCTGCAACATCAGACCTTTTTGCAGGAATATCTTGATAAGTCATATCTAAATCTTTTATTTAGGCAATCCTATTGAACAACCAGATATCATACGCAGACATCCCAAGTCTCCGGAAGTTCTGGGAGTCTCCCTGATATCCATAGTTGTTTCACATATGCCCGTGAGTCTGATAAATTATCCCGGATTTTACACTCTGCGAGGTGGGGTTTCTAATGCGAGTGAGAGCGGGCAGACAATTATTCATGCATCATGTGCGGATTAGAACTACTGCGATTGCGCAGCCACAACAAAAGAGCACGGGGTGTGAGGAGGACGTTGCTGGTGAAACCTGTGCAGCGTATCTGACCAAATGCTCTGTTCAACCAGCGTTCCAGGCAACTGATTGATCAGAGAGCTGATTGGATCAGTCCGATAAGTTTCTCTGGGTTACTCTCTGGCAGTCACCTAGTTAC